GCACTGGAAGGATGCCTTAGAAACCTAGTACAATCCTCTCATTTTAAAGGCAAGTAAATTAAACTCCAGAGATGTCATCACTCACTCAATGTCTCTGAACTAATGACACTCATAATTCCTGGCTTCTATTCCAGGGCTCTTTCTATTATACCCACATGTCTAACTATTCCAATCTATTCTAGTGATTAAAAACTTTGACTGGATGAAAGGTAAGCACTAGGACATGGAACCTGAGCTCACCTTTTTTATCAAACCAAGTAGAAGACTTAAGCTTCATTAAAAACATCAAAGATCCAAGATGGAGTTTTTGCACAAACAAAAACAATGCAGTTAAAATGAGAAGAACAGTTAACCCAGCAAATTCTTTTACAGCAAGTTTCTCTGATAAAGGTCTCATATCCAAGATATATAGGAAACCAGTTGAAATTTTTAAGAACAAGACCCATTAGCAATAGATAAATGACCAAAGGATATTAACAGGCAGTTTTCAGAGGAAGAAATCCAAGCTCAACAGCAATATGAAAAATGCTTCAAATCATTAATAATTTGACAAATTTAAATTAAAGCAATGTTGAGGTTTTGCTGCATATCCATTAGAATGACAAAGATGATGAAAAAGAAAATTGACAGGTGTGGGAAGGGATGCAGGAAAAACAAAAACTAATTTACAGTTGGCAGAGCTATCAATTGGTCCAGCCATTCTGGTAAGAAATCTGGAATTATGTCCCCAAATTAACTAAACTGTGCATACCATTTGACCCAGTGATAATACTACCTGAAAGGAAAGAAAAAGGAAAAAGACTCATGTTGTTTTGTTTTGTTTATGGTGAAGAACAGAAACTATGAGGGTGATCATCAATTGGGAAATGGCTGAACAAATTAAACTATGAATAAAGTATGAATTTAATAGAATATTATTATGCTGTAAGAAATAACAAAAGGCACAGCTTTGGAGAAACCTAAGAAGACTTGTATGAACTGATGTATGAATTGAGCAGAACGAGGAGAACAATTTTTACGACAACATTGTAAAAACAACTTTGAAAAGCTCTGTCAATGAAACGACCAACCACAATTTCAGAAGACAAATGATGAGATATTGACAGAGAGGTGATGAACTCAAGGTGCAGACTGAAACATTGGCATTTGGACATGGCCAATATAGAAATTTGTTTTCCTTGATTATGCATATTTATTACAAGGGCTTTTTCCCCCTTTTTATTTCCAATGCTGGAGTGGAAGGAAGAGGAAGAATAGGGATATGGTAGACAAAAAAGAAAATGAAAAGAAAGAAAAGAGGGTTATTTAAGCATTTTAAAAAATATAGACGATAACAGAAGGAAGATCAGAAGGAATAATAGATAACCATGGCAGCTTTGAAAGTTACATGTTGAATTGATTAAATATTTTAAAAGAAAAGCTTATTATACATAATAGAGATCTTAGTTTCATGTATAATTCTCTTTTTCTGTTCTCCTAGGTATACAGAAATGTCTATTTTGTTTTGTGTTTGTTAAATTCTCAATAAAATATCAAAATTTAAAAAATTAAAAGCCAGGATGATATTGATTTCTGCTATCATTTCCATAGACTATGTAAGCCTATATCTCTGTAAAATGTTGCCAATATATATAAGTGGAAGGTGAGAAGGGAGAAGCCCCTTCTACAGCAATATAGAAGCAGATGTCATTGGGAATCAATAACATTTACTGAGAGAATCAGAGGAAGGTTTCCAGAGCCTTGGGTAGATAGCTAGCCATAGAGGATTTATGGAATGACATTGACAAGAAACCCAGAATGAGATAATGTGGAACTTGTGATATCTCCAGTAATGGAGGGATTCTCATGAATCAAATCACAAGTTCACCAAATCACCATAGCATGCACGTACATTATCCAAAAGAACTAAATTAAACTTAATTTTGAATTGGACCTTCCCTAAATAATACTTCCAAAAAGTATTGTTCTTCAGGAAACATCTATGTAAAACAGAAAAGATACATGTCTTTTTTTTTTCTTCAGTCCTCAATTAAAAAAAACAAAGCACCCAGTAGATTTAATGTGATTTGCATACCTCTTTGCACATCTATCAATCACAGTCCCTAGCCCCTGGGAGTTTTTCCAGTATTTATTATTCACCTTTCAATCTTTGTTTGCATACAATCAAAGTTCACTAATTTGCCCTCTTTGGAGAAGCCAATGGGGAAGTCAGCTTATTGAATTAGAGAGCTAATTTAATTAGAGAACTAATGAATTAAAGTAATGAAATCTTAGATTTTTTTTTTTACAGGCACAAATAGCAGTGTTAAAAAGGAAGAAAAGTGAGAGGCAAATTATATACTGTATAACTTACAAAATCTTCTCAAGCATTTTATTTCCAGGTAATAAGAATCATTTCTAGTGAGCACATGCTATTGTTTGAATGCAAATGCTAAAGAAGTATTTGAAAGCATTTGCCTATCTTTTTTCTTAAATAGGCAAAGTATTTCTTTTATTGATACTATTAATTTGCTTAGCAAACCTTCTTACCTATAGTATAAAATTTAACTTCTGCTCAGTTGGTCTAAATTATTGTAAATTTTGACTTACTATAGTCAATTGGGCTTTAAATTTTGTAATTTTTTCTTTCTCACTGTAAAATAGGTCTATCATTTCCATCAAACTAATTTGAAAATATTAAAACCAATCTATACAAGAAAGCTTTACCTTATTTTCCAGTGCGCAGATCTTTTGTTCAAGATTTTTTACTTTGGGGGAAGCATTAGTATCTTTAAAATACTGGAATATTTATGTAGGAATTCAAAAGTCTTCCTGCAAAGAAAATATATCCTTTAATTATGTAGGTTTTAGTGAAGAAAAGAGTTGGCAAAAAATAAAAAATAAGCAAGCAAATAACAGCAATAACAAAAAACCCTAACCACTTCATAAACCTTAAAGGACCTAACCCTATAAATAGTAATTGTTACCATCATCATCATTATCCTCATCTCAGCTTAATGTTAGTTTGGAATTGGGAAGGTTTGCTATTATATTTCTTTGGGGATTTTTTGAGCCTAACTGCATCTCAACACTCTTCAATAATCCCAAGACATCCAAAGTGATTTCTTCCTTCCTAGTCAGGGAAGTCAGTGCTAAGGATGATTGCTGGAATAGTGGTTGGTTCAGAATATAAGTAAGAACAGCCCTGATTCAGACCATAAATATAGTCATTTGATTGTTGTCTCTCCCATTAGAAGTGAGACCCTGGAGGACAAGAACTTTCCATTTGCCTGTCTTTGTATTCCCAGCACTTAATATGGGGTCTGGAGTATTCCAAGTGCTTAATAATGTTTATTGACTTCTACAGCATACAACATCCTTTTTTCCCCTCTCATTTCAAACTCTGATATTACAAAAACTGGTATAACATATGCAATACATTTAACAGAGGCAGATATGCATTTTTAAAAGTGTGTGTGTGTGTGTGTTTCTACTAGATCTGTGATTTCATCAGTAGAAGGGAGCTTCAGAGAGGGAAGTCCTTCTACCAGTTCAGATGGACATTTTATCTGCAATTTCCCTTTTAAGAGACTTGCTCAGGATCAAATAGCTGGGCTTTGTATGTGGAGTTGGGAAGATTTAACCTAGGTCTTGCTGATTGTAATGTCATTATTACATCCTGCCTTTCTATATTCTGCCTTGATAGAATTTAATAAAGGTAAATGCGGAATTCTGAGTTTTATCAGTTTATTAGCCGGGTACAAACGTGCTAATAAAGTGGGTCAAATGCTGCCTCAGTTAGGCCAATGACCCAAAAGAGGAAGCACAGCTCCTTTTTATAAGCATAGAACTAAGAACAGAACTGGGTAGGTTAGGAAAATAATGTAATTGATTACAAGGCTGGCAGCATCATGGGATGAAGACAATACAACTGGTTGGAAACTGGGAATGAGGGGCTAGCAACAACTCCCTCCTTCCCTCCTGTGATTAAGACATGTTCATTGTTTGAGTGAACCTACAAGGGTAGAGATAGTAAACCAGACTTCTTTGGAAAACAAACCAGACATCCTTGAAGAACAGCTTGGTGGTATAAAGATATTAGACCAAATTCTCTGGTGTCCACTTGCATTCTTCTGGGATAACAGATTTTTTTGAGCAAGAATAGAACAGTGGTTAGCAAGAGAACCGAACTTCTAAACAGCTCATAGCCAAAGAGACAAAGAAATGTGGCTTAAGCAATCATACAAAATGGGGCAGTAATACAGAATAGGATCAATTACAGAATAGAATCAATTATACAATGATACATAATCAATTTAATTTCCTAAATTCTTTCATAGCTACAAAAGGCAATCAATAAACAAAGGATCATTAATGCTAAGGGTTAATCATTCTTATTTGTGATTATACTTGAATACTACAAGGATCCATTATTTCATTGCTCTAGGCTTGCTATACTACTAAGACATGCCATGAGATTTAGGGGACAGGGTTACTTATTTTTTGTTTTATTAAATCCTTGCTACCAGTTTTCTTATTATCCAGTTTGTTTACTGGCTTTGTTCTCCTAGTAGAAGATACACTTCTTTCTCAGAGGTGCACATTGCATGAGAAATAACCTTCTCTCCAGTGTCCAAACTGGACTCAAGAATTCTTGAATTTGGGATTATCTCCAAGACCACTGCCAAAGCTGGGACTCCCTTCTCAGGCCCAATACAGAAATGTTTGCTTTTGCTATGTGACTTTACAAGAAACCTCTCAGTGCCCTAGTTCCTACCAGCTTTTGACAGAGGAAAATCCCCCTTCAGGTTTCTAATTTCCTATTTGTGCTCAGAATTGGAAACAGAAAAGCAAAAGATGGTTTGAAACTTGAAGTTGAGAAACTCCCCTTTGAGGCCTTCTGGGGAATTACATACAGAATGCCATATGTTTTTGCCAAAAGTCCATACTACCTGCTAGTTGGAGAAAGAAACCACATGGTCATAAGTTTCTTCTCAGGCTGAGTGCCAGTACATGTCTACCTTTGCTAGGAGCTTCTAACACAAGTCATATCAATTGCTCATGATGAAGATGGGGAAGAGAGAAAACCCCTCCTTCTTCTCACTGCATTCCAGAAAAAGTCATAAGGAAAAAGGTAAAGAGGGGGCTTTGAATATTACCAGAAAAGGGTAAAAATACATCTTCTAAAGCCATGCTGGTTCTTTGTAATGACTATTTTTTCTCAATGCTCATTAATACTAAACTCTAATTATCTCTTCCAGAATTTTCTTAGGAAGTAGAATAGAGGTCACTCATTTATACCTTTTAAACTCCATTCTCTTTCTCTTTTTCTTTTTTTTTCTTTTTTGAAAATTAAGATATTGGCATAGGGTGATATGTCCATAAGAACAAAATTTGGAGCTGGAAAGAGTCTCAGAGACTGTCTAACTGAACCCTCTCATTTGAATGATGAGGAAGTTGAGGCTCACAAAAAGTAAGTGATTTGCCAAAGGTCGATGAGTTATGAGTGGCACAACCAGGTCCTCTGGCTTAAATTCCGGAAGCTTTTTCACCAAATTATGTTTTCTCCCACTCCTGTAGTTTTTCTCTCATTTTTCTTGATCTTTCAGATATCACTAAAAGTGGCTCAACAATCTCAGCTGCCAGTTCTTTCAATAAATGAGGAGGTAGTTCATCTGGGCCATGTGGCTTAAATTCTTCAAGACTGCTTGATGCTCCTTTATATTCTAACTTTTCTTGAGTATCAATTTCCTGTTAGCCATTTTCATGCTCTTATTTCCAGTCTTAAGGTCATTATCCTTGGCAGAGAAATCAGAAACCAAATGAGAATGGAATAGCCCTGGCTAGACTTTGTTGTCAATTATGATTGCCCTATTTACCCCAAAGCACTGGGGGGAGGGGGAAGAAGTATTTGATCTCTTGTTTAATTTTCCCCTTTCCCCCCAATTTAGCTTAAAAACAAAATAAATAAAACCCACCCTTTTTCTTGTCCTTAACTTTCTTTATCAACTTTAGTGCCTTCTAACCTTTAGCACTCCTGACATTATTTTAGAGAACAGTGCCATTATTCTAATATTCATCCTCTGTTACTTGCTCCCCCCCATTTTCTGTACACATCTTTTGAAATTTTGAAATTCTAAGTAGGTTGTTTTCTATAAATTCATGTGAGTCTCAGGATATATACCACTTTCCTCCTCTTTATTGGGATTGTTTTCATCTGTGTCTTCAGAATCTTATTCTTCAGAATTTCCCATTCTTTTTGGAGTGATTTTCCCTATAATTTTAATCAGTGGAATCCTACTAATCCTTTCTCTGAAACTTTTGAATAAATACATCAGTCAACCAATCAGCAAGCATATTGAATTATAAACTATATGCCAAGCACTGTGTTAATGCCATTTCAATTATATTTGTAAGATGCCTATCAGGCAAATAAATTCTTACCACCTACCATATAGTTCACTCCATTACCAGGAGTTCATCATTCCTCTATTTTAAGTTGAATTCCAACGTCCAAAATCCCATCTCAGTCACCATCTGATTAGCCAGCTGTTTACTTAACCAAATCAAAATCACCCCTTATTAGCCAGCTATTTTATTATCAAATCAGTTTTTCTCCTCTGTATCCACTGGCTTCAATGGATATAATTGTGAAAAATACAAACTATGGTATTCAATTTCTGGCCAAGACTTCATAATCTTTAGTAATACTATTTAGCTTCCTTCTGGCAATGTCATTGTGTCCCCAGAGGTGGATTGTAATCATAACTTTTGATGAGTCTTGGAAGGTCCTCTGGTACACCTTGGATAAATGCCCCATGAAGACAAGGGACTTCTCTATTGTTATTACCAGATTGACACATAGATGATTCATTACACTGAAAAGGAGTCACTAACCCCCTACTCTTCTCTTAATCCTTTAGCCTATAAGGGACAATTTCTCACCTGAAATGATTGTTCTTTATCATTTCTTGGAGGACAAGTAAATGCTTTTTCCAAACATCCAGCTCCCTTCTTCTCAGTAAGAGTCTCAAATTTGATATTTATATCCAAGTGTGTGATTGTCCTAGTCTTTCCCTTCTTCCTCTGTGTGACATCCTTTCATTCTCCAGTTTCCTGATAAAGGTCATACTCTCTTCTGTCACTTCATATTCTTTTTGTTCTCTCATCAAAACTCACTTTTATGTTTTGTTATTATTTTTGTAAGAAATACTTAATTATACCTGATAATCTGGAGTATAGAGATGTATTTCTTCAGTTCTTTCTGCTTTTCTTATGGTTAGGGGTGTGTGTGGAGGGGGGAACCAGCCTATAATGGGGAGATAGCAATCATTTGACTGTGGCAGAAATACAAACATAGAATACTCAAGGCAAGTTACTGAAAAATTTTCCCTCTCTCCATACTGATTGAGATGCTCAGCCTTAAAAAAATTACTTGGGGGGGGGGTCTTGCCCCTTATCTCCTTAAGAACTTTGTAGCCTTTTACCATTATTTTTTAAACAATATCACAGCCATACCTGACTTCCTTTCCCTTTTTCAAAATTAACCTCCTAATCATTTCAACAAATTTTTGCTTGTTAATTTTATTTACCAATTTGTTGTACTACTTTTTCTGGCTAACCTTGTCCTGCCATGTACCTTATACTTTTCTTTCTCCTTTGGTCCTTCTCTTTGGGTCTTTACTTCTTCATCCAACTCCTGAAATCTTCTTTCACAAAAGTCAGAAATAGAACCTGGAAAAAGAAATCGTTCTTCAAATTTTCCTCAATTTCTCTCAAATTATCTAAAATTTTCCTCTTGAAATTCAATTTCTAGCCTTCGTCCCATGTCAAGCTCCTCTAAAATTATTTTCAAAATTCCCCTCTCCATTTTATTCAACTTAAGTCTTTCTTCTCCAACTTCTCAATCAGACTAAGTCTAGAAAATTTAGACTTCATTTTTGTGGGAGTATCATCATAGAACTAATGGTTGAAAGGTATAGAGAGACAGATTTTTGTTCAATATTAGGTAGAAATTCCTAATAATTTGGTCTATACAAATGTGGAATGGGGTACCTTGGGAGTTGATTTGTTCATCACTGGAATTCTTCAAGCAGACATTAGACAACCAGGTGTCAGAAATTATGTAACGAGAATTCATGTTTTAGCTATGAATTCAACTAGATGATTTATAATGTCTCTTTCAACTCACAGATTCTATGATTCTGTTATTTATTTCTTAAACAGTAATATTCAATGAACTTCTTTGGGTTTTCTTTCAATATTTCAAAAGCAAGAATTAACTATATAATATTGCCTGTGTGGATATAGCCTTATCATGAATTAAATAATTGATAAGTTATAATCATATCTTGGTTTAGAACTTGCAAAGTGCTTTCATATAAATTACAGTTTTTAGATCTATAAAGAGTACTGATTCAGAGTCAAAGGATAAAAATGAGATATTTGTAAAGCACTTTGCAAAGTTTAAAGTGATATATAAGTGCTAGATATTAATATTAGTACTACTTATCAGAAGACCTGGTCTCTTCAGCAAGTCATTTAACCTCCTTGGGCCTCAGGTTCCTTATACATAAAATTAAGGGTTTGGATGAAGTGGCTTCTGAGATCCAAATAATGATATTATGATAATATGAATGATAATAACTAGTATCTACATAGCACTTTAAGATTTTCAAAGCCCTTTACAAATATTATCTCATTCTATTTTTAAAACAACCCTAGAATATAGGTGCTGTTTTGAGGCTGAGAAAGGATAAGTAATATCCTTAATATAGCCTAGGCTTATATACTAGTAAGTTTCTGAGGTTGCATTTGAACTTGGCTCTTCTTGACTACAGATACAGTGTTCTATCCACTGTACCTCCTAGCTATCAGGTATGGATTAGATTAGATTAGATTAGATTGCTTCCCAAGGCCCTTTCATCTATGAGTTTTTGTGATTTGAAATCTGTGATTATTTGTACATATTTCAGATCACCTGTTTCTTTTTTCATTGTGTCTGAATTTTCTCTTTTCTATCACAAACCCAGTAAAAACACCTTGGAACTTGGGCTCCTGTGGGAGAGAACTGAATGATATGAAGCAAATGAATGCTTGGAGGTATGAACATCTCAAGGACATGGCAATATAGAGTTTGAAGCTAATAATCAGTGTGATGGAGAGTATAGAGTCATCTAGCTCACAGCTTTGCTCTAACTAGCGCCTAAGGTATTTAGATATTTTAAAGAAAGAGGAAACAAGACAACATAATAGTTCCCCTTTGGGGCAGAATAAGTTGTTGACATGAGTACCCAGGGATCAGTTGAGGTTTTTTGGTAAAGGGCCCTGATCATCTTCCCCATAATCCTCCCATGTCAAAGAAATTCTTAGCTAAAATCCTTATAAGTTACTAGGAAGTCATTCCAGGCCACAGAGGAAAGACATAAGACTTCTTCTCAGATTTAGCTTTGTGAAATTGAGATTTTTTTCATTCTCAGAGTTTTGATTCTCACTCACAGATCTTTGCCCTTTTGACCTCTCTTCTGAGCATTAGTCCTATATTTTCAACTACCTTTTGGGTAAGTCCACTGGGGTGTCTTATGATCCCTTCAAAGTCAAAATGTCCAAAACTGAAACCATTCATCACTTTCCCTGAAACATTGGTTTCTGTTTCTGAATTTCTGCTCACAGTGCCACCATCTTCCCTGTAAGCCATGTTCAAAACTTCTCAGTCATTGGTAACATCTGATATTTATATAAAGCTTAATTATCTTTAAGTTTCAAGAGCATAAAAGCTACTCTGAGTGTTTTGGGACACACTGTGCAATATTTTACTTTACACATATTGCACAGCAGCCCTATGAGGTAGATACTACAGATATTAGTATCCTTTTTTGACAAATGTGGGAACTAAGTAAGACACAGAGAATGAGTGACTTTTCTGTGACCACACATCTAATAACTGTCATGGGCTGGATTTGAATTCAGGTCTCTGCAAATACTAGGTACAGAACTTTTTAAAAAAATTATTGTTTTCTGTTTTTACACCATAATCATTTCCCAACATACCCCAAAACTATACCCCTATACCCATAAACATTCCCTATAACCATAAACTCTTTATTGTAAGAACAGTTAAATCCCTCAATTGCT